CCCCGGGGCCACAGCCGGTCACTCTGGGTGCAGGGGAGAACGGGGCGCAGTGCCCAGAACGCTTTCCTTTGAAGGCTTGTTGCAGTGAAGATGGACACACAGTGTAAAGGTTGACGTCGAACCATTCTTGTAAGTGTAAGGCTCAGTGGCCGTTCTGTGCGACGACCAGCTCTATCTATTCCAGAACATTCTCACCACCCAAGAGGGGGCTTGGGCCACTTAGCATCCCCTGCCAACCACGAAGCCACTTTGTCTCGTGCTGGAGCGTCCTTTCGTGCCTGCCCCTTTGCTCACTCAGCATCCTGCTTTCCAGAGTCACCAGGACACCCTTCGCTTTAGGGCTGAGTGATGACCCACTGGGTGGGCCCTGCTGGGTTACACGTGGGGCTGCTAACCACAAGGTCGGCAGTTCAAAACCACCGGCAGCTCTACAGAAGAAAGATGAGGTTTTCGACTCTAGTCAAGAGTGACAGTCTCAGAAACCCACGGGGGCAGTTCTACCCTGTCCTGTAGGGTCATGGTGAGTCAGGACCCACTCGGAGGCCGTGAGTCTGGCTTCATCATATTCCATTGTGGGGATGGGCCTCGTGTGTTTACCCACTGCCGGGGGTTGGGCCTTGGGTTTTGCCGCCATGGTGGACAGTGCTGCACCACACTGGTGGACAAGCATGCGTCTCAGTCCCTGCTTTCAATGGTCACACGTGACTTTTTTGCAAGAAAGCACAAAAACAAACTAGTACAATGCCTTCATGAGAACTCCTGTGAAATGTGGACGCCGGTCAGTAACGTTTTATCGGCACGCAGTCACACCCATCGATTACGTGTGATCTGTGGGTGTTTTCCTGATGGCAGACAGTTACTGTGATAGAGGGTGCTGGACCTGCAGAGCCTGCCCACTTAATCCCTGGGCTCCTGACAGGAGTTGACTGCCCGGGGCCTGATCCCAGTTCAAGATGTGGACGCCTGAGGGGTACGGAAGTGAAGCCCCCTGCCCCCCGCCCCACCCCTGCCAGAGTCCTGAGATTTGACAGAAAGACCAGCAGGGCAGGTTTTTATAAACCTTTCCAAGTGTTGGGTAGAGCGTGGCTAGCCTCACCCCTGTCCCCCTACCCCCAGAAGCCAACCAACCTGAGACTGGATACAACATAGACCTTCCCACCCCCCACTGGCCCCATCCCTGCCAGCACCCACCACCCCAGGAGGTTTAACAGCCCAGGGTGTGGCAGGGTCCTGGGGGGCTCAGACAGGATGTCTGGATGGAACCAGGAGGAGATAGGGCTGGGGGCGTGGCCTCCGGCCGCTCTGGGGACATAAAGCTCAAATCAAACTCACGGCCATCAATTCTGACTCACAGTGACCATACAGGGCGGGTTAGAACTGCCCCTGTGAGTTTCTGAGTCTGTAACTCTTTACAGGAGTAGAAAGCTTCATCTTTCTCCCTCGGAGCGGCTGGTGTGTGGATTAGAACCCCTGACCTCACAGATAACCACTAGGCT